TACAATTCATATCCAACACACAAAGTGGCTGAGTGAGTTAAACTGACCAATCACCAGTCAACACTTTCCAGAATGTTTAAAATATTATTTATTCATTATAAAAGAACAGTAATTATGTGCCTGCCTCCATCGAAAAGTCTGGGTGCTAGTGTGGCCTACAATCATTCCACATGTAGAGCCACACTGGGGTTCATTGTACACCAAGACAAATAAATAGAAAGTCAAAATGATGAAATGTATATACTTACTGAGTTATTCATCAAGGCTTTAATGCAGCCAATTATGGAGGTGTGGATTGGACTTTCTAAGGTGTCATAGTCCATTTTACTTAGAAAATTAAGCAAACACGTTAACCCATCGAGCTCAATAAATCTTGTCACAAACCTACAAACATAATTGGTGAAAAAAGATCTGTTACAGAAAAGTTTTTATATAACAATGTATTGTGATTGCTCTATCATATATATATATATCAGCTTGAAAACAGTAGAATTCTGAGACCATCACAGAAGACAGAAAGCTGTACATACCGCATCGGTTGGGTTCTCAGAGCAGTTTTCAGGCCATCAACCAATTTACTACGCACTTCAATCTCTTCATCATCTGGAGCTATGAGTGTTAACTATTCATAGAAAAAAAAATTGCATTTATTTCAAAAAAATATATTATACTTTCTACAATTTTAAGATGTACACTGAGAAATGTAAGCTGAGAATTCATTTGGCGAATTAATGAAGTTTTGGTACAATTATGTGAAATAGCTGGTGATCTGAATTGGCCAAAATTGAGGGAATATTAAATGTTAAATTATTCTTTTTTAGGATGTCCAAATGTTTGTGATTGTTTCCTCTTCCCATTTGATTATGTGCTCAAATTTACTCTGATAGCGCTTTCAAATCAAGTACTGTAAAATAATTTATTTTAGCTAGACTTAATTTTTGCTGAGAAGACATTTCAACTGTTTTGTATCAAGTATATTTTCACTGATTTTTAAGTTTAACGTAAAAATATAGGACAAATTTTATTTTCACTGGATTTTATTTTAACCGATGCATTCCTTCAGCAAAAATAAACTGCAAGTAAAAATAAAGTATTTTACAGTATATCGCTTTATTCCCAAGACCCTGAATAAATTCCCTGAAAGTGTAAATTTAAGAGAACAATATCCAGAGTATACTCACTGTGGACATCGAGTTCAACCTATCAATATAGTTATCTGGCCAGCTGGTGGAGCTGGGATCCTCTTGTTCCTAATAAAGAAACAACATTAATTATGATACATGTACATACCATAAGAATATTACATATCACTGTCAGAAAATACAGAATATTTTATGAAACTTTGTTGTTATTTTTTTTATACATTGTATCTTACAATGAAATAAAAATACAATAAAACATTAATAATAAATAAATTTAAAAAGTATTTATATGTTATCTGTCAAGTGTCATATTGTATGCATATTTGTGATGAAATGGATTTTATCCTGGCTTGTGTACATGTCCCATATAACCTGTCATCTATTGCTGCCTCTCAGCTCTTTATTTGTCTTGCTAATCCTATTTGTTAAATTCTATAAGCTACATTTTATATTAGGATAATATCTTCTCTATGCTGGTAGGTAATGGAACCACTGTAAATGTATCTATGTTGACAGGGTTTATAATTTTCCAGTTTTAACAATGTAGGATACACTACATGTATTTACATGGAGAGTCACTAAGATTTAATTTAATTCACTAATCTGACTGTAAAAAAGTAAGCTACTGTAAAACACATGGAAATAGTGACATGCAATTTTAGTGAATTAGACTCAACACACAAATTAACAGAATCCTAATTTAGCTGAAGTACCAACAATCTCATTGTGAGATTATACTAAATTAGCGACATCTTGAATTAGCAAAATTATAAATTAGATAAATTAGCTAAAATAACAGGTTGGCCATATTTTACAGTATACTGTGATTGACATGTTTTAAAGAAGCAAATTTCAAAAATTGAAAGCAGAAGAGCAATTGAAATTATCAACAGAACCACTACAAGTAACCTATTATTACGAAATAACAAACAAAAGAAATACATGGTATTCTAAATATATGCAAATAAAAGCAAATAAAAGCAAATTAAATTTTAGTTTGTGAAGTCTGATATCTTTTCCAGGAAATACTAGTGTTCAATATTTAACAAAAAACTAAAAAGATTCATTAGCAGCTGCGTAGTTACACTGTCCATTCCATGTCAGAAGACAAAGCCATTAGAATTTGGAATACACATTAAAAATACAACATCAAACTGCAAAATTTAGATCTCCGGAAAATAAGACAGTCAAATAAGTCTTTGCATCAAAATGAATTTTAATTTTCATTATGTTTTTAAAAATGAATGCAAAAGAGAATTATTGTGTACACGATGGATATAGGGTTAGTTCATAAATTACGTTCTTGCGTTTGACTGATTAATTTAGGAAGCCATCATAATTTACCCAGACAGTCATCTATAATATATTAACCTGCACACTGGTACCACCTGCACTTGTGAGAATTAAAATGCAAAAAAAGATGTCATTAGCTTGTCGTAAAACAAAAGCAGTGGCAGATTCATGCATATAGTTCTTGTTTTGATAAATTATTATTAATAAATCAGCTGTAACTGTATATTAACTTCATGTTCTTGTATATGATGAATATATCTTTATAACTTGCAACAGAATGTACTCATGTACCGGTATATAATTGTTGGCACTCACTGTAAAGACAAAGCCACAATGAGGGAGCTGATACCGACTGTACATGTAGGTTCATAATATGACAAGAATTTCCCTCTGGAAAACATCTATTTTAGGTAAGATACTGAGGATCAAAACCTTATTCAGGTTACTGTGAACTGCTTTAATTTTGGAAGAAACTAATTCAACCAGTGAAAATGGTGTCATTTTGTACGTTAATGAATTAGAGTTTTCCTGGGGTCCTACAAAACAAAGTGTCAGTGACTTTGGCAAAAAAAAATATTTTTACGAATAAATTACTGTACTGGAAAGCGTTGAGGGGTGGGCGCTTAAGCACCCGAGCACTCCCTTCGGAATGAGTGCAAATGACAATTTTAATTCATCATGTGACAGATTGAGGGGGATATTACGTCTTTGAGGGAAAATAAAATTACGAAATTAGTTACTTCGTTATTGACTTTTACAATGAAGAAACAGAAATGGTCAAAACAATATGCACATTTTATTAGAATATTTATTACCACCTGAATTTACGAGGTTAAAATATTAGAGTCTGTTGGAACACAGTCACAATAAAAGTCAAATTCTCGGAAATTCTCAAAGACTTT